TCGTTTCACGGCTGGTCAGCTCATTTCTTTTCAGTGCAGAGTAGTATTCCATTGTCTGTATGTGTCGCAATTTATTTACCCTTTTACCTAGTGAGGGACAGTTGCCTCCAACTGCATACTTTGTGTGCCTTTTGAACATTGTATCATGTGAATTCTCTGAGTTTGGTATCTTTCTTTTACAAATACAATTGAAAATTTAAAAATAATCAAATTAAATGAGGCCTCACCCACCAAGAACATGGGTCTGTTTGGTCTGCGTTTCCCCTTTCTGTTGCGTTTTGCCAGAATCTTGAGTCTGGACAGTCAGTGTGCGACACACGCTAAAGGGCCACTCCTCACCCAGGTCGGCCAAGGCCCTGTCGCGGCCAACAGATTCCTCAGGCCCCTCCCGCAAGGCCCAGCCCAGGACCTTCCCCCAGCACTTCCGGGCTGGGCAGGAGCCCTCCCACAAACACTCTCCTGGGAGTTGGCCTCCTCCAGGACCCGGACCTGTCCTTTCCACACTGGAGGCTCCAGCCAGCACTTCTCCCGTGAGGCCCACCTCTCCCCGCCTGCAGGCGAGCACCCGTCCGTCTCCAAGACTGGGCTGGGTACCGACTTAAAGGCAGCCCGCCCAACCTGGCGGTTTCATTTTGCTCGTTCCCACATACTCACATCATATAGGAAACACGCGAACTCCCAGAGACCCCTTGAGTCGTGTTAAATGATCATAAGAGCCAAATCGAACAGGCTCCCACCAGCCAAAGGTGGGACAATTTGAGGATCAAAAAGAAGAATGGGCATAATTGATTGAAATGCATAAAACAAGCATTTTAAAAATCCATTCATTCATTATGATGTATTGTTTTAAAAGCTCTCACTGGTCAAATTTGAAGGTTGCTAAAGCATTAATGTATTATTCGGAAAACTCATAAATAAAAGGAAATAATCAAGCATTTGTTCTACACCTTCTGTATTAACTATATTCCAACAAAACCAAATAGTTGACGAAGGAATTTCTTCCCTACTAACAAAATGCGAGCTAGTAGAGGTAGAGAATTAGAATAAAACCATTTACAAATCCTAATGGAAAAACAGATGTGAGGAGGTGTCAGCAATGCCTGCTCAAACTGTGAATGAGTGTTTGATGAAGACATTTATTATGAGGTTAACAGTACATCAACACACTGGTTAATCTTAATTTCACAGAAAGAGAAACCAGGAGACATGAGCATCCTTATACAAAGGAAGAACACAGTATTTACGGTGATGTCTTCTTACCAAAAAAATTGAACCTGAATTTGATCAAGTCTCTAGATATAGCAAGCTTAGCTATGTTGAAAATTGTTAAAACTGACTATGATGGTGACTTTTATGTGTCTAGTTGAATGGGTCATAGGGCACACAGATATCTGGTTAAACTTTTTTGGGTGTATTTTTTGTAAGGGTATTTCTAGATGAGATTAGCACTTGACTCAGTAAAATCTAAGTAAAACAGATGGCCCTCCCCAGTGCTGCTGGGTGTTATCCCGTTCATCGAGGGCCTGGACGGAACAGAAAGGCAGAGGAAGGGAGGATTCGCTCTCTGCCTGTCTACTCGAGCTGAGACACTGGTGGTCTCCTGCCTCAGACTAGAATTTACACCATCAGCTCTCTGGTTCTCAGGCCTTCAGGCCCTGACGAGAACTACACACCAGCCTTCTCGGGTCTGTGACTTGCCAAGATGGCAGTTCCTAGGACATCTCAGCCTCCACGATCACGTGAAACCATTCCTTAGAATAAATCAGTCAGTCTCTCTCACTCTCTTCCTCTCTCTCCATAGGGATTTAATTGTAGAGTTAATTATATACATATGTATAATATGTTACATAAAATCACATATAGTTATATAAATTTATATATAATTGGTTATATAAATTATATAATCAGCAATACAAAATATATGTATAATTGGTTCTGTGTCTCCAAAGAACCCTAACCAATATACTAGATGATAGACATCACTACTTTTGTGTATATTTGAGATTTCCCATAATAAAAGTAAAAAAAAATTCCTTTCTCATAGATAAATATTTTTACAGACAATGGAAGGAAACTATGCTCCCCAATTAAAAGACACTTTTCATTTTCTGGTTCTGATTTGGTTTTGCATCTTATATTGATTAACTGAACTGGCGTGTAAGGGAGGAAGACTTTCCCTTATTTGTCTTAGCACCATGGAGACAGGCTGACATTTTCAAAAAGAACTTGGCTGAAAAGCAAGCAGAAACAGAAGCACAGCCATAGAACCAGTCACTGTGGTTCTGGTGCATTAGCAGCATCGCCAGCGTCACTAGCCACCCAGGGCTCAGGGACGAGTGACGGACACCAGCTGTTCTGCTGTCAGGCCAGTGGTCTCCAGCCTCGGGGACTGGCTTCCTGGCTCATCTTACCCAAGGATTAGGGGGCACAGGGCTTCCCTCCAGCGTCTCCAAGGACGCTCCCATACTTTCTCATGTTTGGGAGGGTGATACTCCTGCAACTTGAAGATGCTATAACCCTGCGAAAAGTTAAACTGGAATCAGCATGCAGTGGGTGAGACTGGCCTTCAGAAGTGACCCAGAGAGACGTAGTTATGAGCAGGAGCACGCACAGTGACTTCTTCAGAGGAATGTCAGTTAGAGTGAGCTGCGACCTAATTCATCATATCATAACCTAAGAGCCTAAAGCAATGCATGATGCACTGTTAGCTCTCGAATATTTCAGAAGGGAAATCAGACAGAAAGGAATTGGCTGATGTTTTCTGTAGCGCTGCCACACCAGAGACCCAGTTCAATCTGTGTTTTAGCAAGAATCCTTGCAATATGGTCACGAGTTTTAGTTCTAGAGTTAGACTCCCTGGGCTACTGAATTTAAGCTTCAGTTTAAAGCTTTAGTTTCTTTATCTGTAATTGGGGGTAATAATCGTACCTCTCTCTTAGGGTTGGTATAAAGACAGAGGAGAAATTTCACGGAGGCATCTCGTGCTGAGTCACAGGAAGGTCCCTGCTGGAGCCGCCTTGGAATGAGGGAGAGTGTTGGGGTCACGGACAGGAGATGGAGAGATCAGGTAAGGAGCTGGGTCCTCCTCCAGTTCCGGCATGCTGCATCATAATGGAGATGGTCGCTAAGGTTTCCTGCCCCCTGCGGCTCCCATCCAGCCCTCCCCCTGCCCGCCAGCCGGGCTTTCTGCCTTTCGCACCACAGGGAAGGGATGACCCCATAGAATGCAAACTGTCGGCGCTCAGCTTTCAAATTCCAACAGTCTGGGTGCTGGGGGATTCAGGAAATAAAGATTGGCCCCAGAGCAGGAAACTGTCCCAGCGTGGCAGAGCCACATGGGACATGCCAGCACTGCACGGGTGCGGCCAACAGTGCCAGGGAATCGAGGAGCACAGGCAGCGGGCACCAGCATGCGACCAGAAGGTCCCCGCACTCACAGTGTGATCGAGACAATGGAGAGGACCAGACGCCCACCCACTCCACGTGGCAGTCGCCTGCAAGCCCCTTCATAACTCAGCCGCAGCACGGGGGGACATTGTGGGGGACCCCAGGCTCGAGCCACTCACAAGATGGGACACAAAACAGAGATCAAGTTGTTTAGTAGAAAAATTAGGTTCCACATCTGCTCCCTCTCAGTCGGTGGACTAAGATTTGCGCGCACGCGGCAGATCACAGAGCTGAGACACCAGCTGGGGGCGAAGGGATGCACGTGTTCAGGAGATGGACGGATGGGACCCCGTGATCTGGGAGGGGTGAGTCAGGACAGGGAGAGTCCCGGCGTGGTGGATGACAGTGTTCTGGCCTCCTGAGAAGGGACAGTACTTTGGACCGGGAATAATTCATAAAACTTTTCCCTGGCCTGAGGAAATACTCTGAAGAGCGATGGATTCCATTTGCAGCCTCACTAAGCAACCTTCCAACAGCTCATGTGGTTTCCCAGGTAACCTGGAGGGCATTCTGGCTTGTTGCTATCCATCTTTGAGAGTCTGATTAGGGAGGTCTTGAGAGCCAGGTCCAGTTCTGGTTGCATCTGCACTTTCAGAATCTGAGAGCCAAGGTCCAAACCTTGACGGTTCTGCCAGTTCAGGATTTCGGGACGCTTTTCTGAAGCTGCTTCATTATCACTCTGATGAGGAGCAGAGTAACTATTGTCACCTGGCAGGACCATGTGGAAAGGGGGTGAAGGAGTGAGCACATGGGAACCACCGGGAGTGACTTCCTGCGGAGGGTCACTGCTCAGAGCCACCGTCCTAAGCCAGGTCCTTGGAGCCTAAGATTTTCACTTTTAGGAATCAGTCCTAGGGGAATGATCTGAGCCTGAGCAAACAGCATGTTCCCATTCATCAAAGTGTTGTTTATCATCCTGGAGAATGTCTTCCACTTGCTCCATGCAGCACCCCACATGTCGACCCTACATTCTCCGACAAATGGACCCCAAGAGCTTGTATGGAGGTTCCACCAGGGGGCTCAGCTACTCGGACACCCTGGACCAAAGAATCGTCCTCCTCTATCACGGTAGGCCAATCTCACTTCAGAACAATTGAACTTCGATAGTAGAAAATCTTATCCAATAGTATAGTGCAGCATAACTCGGAGAGGCTCAAACAAATGCCGTGGGGGCTCAGTACGAGGAAGCGTACGCCTGCGGAGCAGGGGCTCTCTGTGTTCGGAACAGATAGGCTTGCTGCCCAGGCTGCGCCCTCTAGCTCTGCTGACACCTGGATTTGTCCTCGCCCACTCTCTTTCTCCAAGAAGTTGGGGCTGCAGCTTTCTTGGCCAGGTACGTCCCCTGGAGTAAGCCAAGCTGCTGAGAGCTGTTGATAGGTCCCAGGCTTTGGTCCCTGGGAAAGGAAACCAAAACAGAGTTGGAGATGGAAAAAGAGGAAAGAAAGCATCTTAGATATTAAGAGAATGGGTGGCGTTCTTTCTGTGCCCAGCAGCAGCAGCAGCAGCAGCAGCAGCAGCAGTAGTAGTAGTAGTAATAAAGGACGGGGTGAGAACCAGATCTAAGAAAAGATGTTCAGGTGAACATAGGTATACAGAGCCTGAGGAAAGGGAGCAGCTTCTGACAGGTGTGGAGGTGGGTGCCCAGAGCAGCAGTTCAGGCAGCTCCTCAGGGAGACATGATGGTGAGAGCAGAGCTTGATAAACATTGCAATTATGAAAGCATCTTACTGAGAAAGTATAACATCTGGGGGTATAGCTCAGGGGTAGAGCATTTGACTGCAGATCAAGAGGTCCCTGGTTCAAATCCAGGTGCCCCCTATGTCGTTTGACTCTTTTATTCCTGTGGAAGTGTAGCTCCTTGTTATCCTGCAGGCCCAGCTTCATGGAATCTAAATTTCCAACAAGTGGTAGAGATGGAAGTGTCCCTCTTGTGACATTTCTCATGTGTTTCCTTTTTACCTGCTCAGCCATATTCATTTGCTGGAGAGATGGAGGAAGTCTGTCTCAGGCTTTCTCTCTGTTTCCTTGGTGCCTAATTATTACCATCCTGTTTTATTTGTTTATAACAAGCTTGCTTCAAAAAAATAGGATCTGAGGCAGCTTGCAATAAAAGTCCAACCAGTGAAAGAAGTATAAAAAGTCAAGGGCCGACTTAAATGAGGCAGTCAAAATCACAGGGACAGAACGGATGATGGGTGCCAGGGGCTGGAGGTGGGTGAGGAGTTATTGATCAGTGGGGGACAGAGTTTCACTTTGTTCTGGAGGCGGATGGTTGCACATTATGAATGTACTTAAAACTACTGAAAAATGGTATTACACTTAATGAAATGAAAATACATTTAAAATGGTTAAGACGATAAATTTTATGTCGTGTGTACTTTATCACAATTGTAAAAAATGAAGGAAAAAGAAAAGGCAGGGACTGAACGTTTAGGAGAGGAGGTAAATAATTGTTCCCAAGGGCCCTGGTTGTGAGAAGCTACTACTGCTGAATACAGAGCTTGTCTCTGAGCTTCCAGGTAATGAGACAGAAGTGCGAACATACCAGTTCATCAACTGAGTAAAGTACTTTATTAGCTCTGAAAAACAGCAGTCATTTATATGATGGGTCTTTATAGATGCCACACTGGAGAGATGATGGTTATTCCCAGGGCAGCTGTGGGCAGTCACACAGGTAGTGTGTTACACAACTCCACCAGTCACATAGTCCTGTAGAGTTATACAGCCTAGTGACCCTAGATATTGGCTGTAGTTTATCCCTTTTTACAAAAGATGGAATACCGTAGACTGGGTGGCTTATAAAGAGTTAGAAATTTATGTCTCACAGTCTGGAGATTGGAACGTCCAAAATCAAGGTGCCAGTACACTCTGTGTCTGGTGAGGACCCGCTTTCTGGTTCACAGACAGCTGTCTTGCTGTGTCCTCATGTGGCAGAAGGGACAAGAGCTCTTTTGGGCCTGTTTTATAAGGGCATTGATCTCATTCATGAGGGTTTCACTCTCATGACCTAATCACCTACCAGCGGCCCCACCTCCAGATGCCATCACATTAGGGATTAGGTTTCAACATATTAATTGGCGGGGGTGGGGGGGAGCACACAAACATTCAGTCTGATACATATATATATATGACCCATAGAAAGATTTCTTAAACACAACCCCCAAATTACAAACTACAGAAAATAAATTTGATTATATCAGAATTTAAATTTCCATGTGACAAAGTTTCTAAACAAGAGACTCTGAATTTTGCAACACATATGATGGAGAATGGATTTGTACCAAAATATAACCAAAATGAAAAAGTTCTGGAGATCTGTTGCATAACAGTATGAATGTACTTAACACTATTGAATTGTCTACCTAAAAATGGTTAAGATGGTAAATTTTCTTATGTGTTTTTACCACAATTAAATATTTTTAATTATTTTAAAAATAAGAATTCCTATAGAGCAATCAGAAAAAAAATAGTTAACCCAACAGAAAAATGGACAAGGACATAATAAGCAAGTCACAGAAGAGGTTATTTTTTATGACAAACATGTGAAAAGATGCTCAACTTTGCTAGAAATCAGGGAAGCAAAAATTAATTAAAACGATAAGGAGGTACCATTTTCCTCTCCTCCCAAAAGTTAGGATCCATTGAGGTTTAACTAGATCAAGAGTCGCTGAGGGAAAATGGTACTTTCGTTTGCTCACAATAGGAGTGTAATTGGTACACTCACTATGGAGAAATTTTGGGTAATAAACATGATAAAGTCAACACAAAAGTTACCTATAACTATAATAGTAAAATTAAAAGCATGAACACAATTCAGGAATTTCATTTCTAGGTATATCCCCTTGAGAAATTCCAGCAGAAGTGCACCAGGAGACTCAGAGAGACACGTTCATTGCGGCGCTCCTGTTCGCAAAAAAAACAGGAAACGTCCTAAGTGTGTCCATTAAGTAGAAGAATAGATAAATGAAGCTTTCTGGGCTCCTGTAATGTAATTAATATATTAAAGGAAAGTTCCACTGAGCGTCCAAAATGACACAAGCACAGGCATAAAGGCATAAGTGGGAGGGAGCACCCTGCGGAAATCTCGGGATCACGTCCTACAGCCCGGTTACTCACCCACCACTGGCCACAGGAGGTGCAGGGGGTCGGAGGTCAGAGTACTGGTGAGCAGTGCCTGTCTGGGTGATGTGTTCCAAACACCGCTCCTCCGGAGAGGGAGAGTTGGGGCGCTCTCCCCTCACTCGAGCCCAGGCTAGGAAGGGGCTGGTGGAGTCCGCTAGAGGGCTTGGTCATGGGCTAGACTTGGGGTTCTCAGTGATGCTTGTCCGGCCCCACGGGGAGCCTGGGGTTGGCTCTGCAGGGGGACAGGGGCCAGGCCGATCTTCGCTACCAGAGTGGGCGAGGATGAAAGGCCCGTGAGTGTTTCCTGGGGCCACACAGGTGAGGGACATTCTGGAGCAATGTCAGGCTCTGCCCGAAAGGATGGGTCATGGACCCCAACAGAGAGGGTCTGTGTCACACAGACCCCGGAAAGCCAGGAGGAAAATGCACTGCCAGATCACAGGAGCAGTCACAGGTTCCCAGTGGAGGCCTCTGAGGCCTCCCCGAAACGCCCCAGGGGGATTCCAAACACTTGCCAGTCCAGAGAGAGCAAGTCCATCCCACTGCGCTTCTCACCTGCTAAGAACTTTCTTATTCTCCCTTCCCCTCCTCCATCCCTTCCCCTCCTCCGCCCCTTCCTCTTCCCCACCCCAAACGCCAGGACTGAGCACCGCGGGGAAGGAGACAGGAAGCACCACGTCCCAACTCCAGGGGCGGAAGGGGTGGAAATCAATGTCAGAGAACTGACTCTGTATCATGGGAGATTGGGCATTGTTTTTCCCCCAATCATTGTGAAATATGTAAATACATATAAAGAGCTGTCTGAATTCAACATGTCTACTTAGAAAATGGGCAAAAAACATGAACAGACTTTTACTGGAGAGGATATACAGATGGAATATAAGCACTTGAAAAAATGTCAACATTATTACCATCAGGGAAACACAAATTAAAATCACAATGAATTGTCACCACACACCTATCAGCATGACCAAGATAAAAAACGGTGAGAACACCAAATGCTGGTGAGGATGCAGAAAAACTGACCGCTCATACATTGCAGGTAGGAATGTAACCGGTACAGCCGCTCTGGGAAACAGCTTGGCAGATTCTTACCGGGGGCCCAGGTATTTGGTCAAACATCAGTCTGGGTGTGTCCGTGAGGGCGTTTGTACATGAGATTAATGCTGGAGGGAAGAGGCAGTTTCCAGGCCATGAGGACACATCAAGCGGCCCTGTGAATAGACCCACGTGACAAGGAATCGAAGCCTCCTGCCGACAGCCAATGAGGAACTGAGTCCTCTCGTCAACAGCCGTGGAGTGTGCAGAGCTTAGACTGGTTCCTCCTGCCCCAGGCAAACCTTGAGATGACCGCAGCCCCGATGACATTTGATCTAACTTCACGTGAGCCCCGGAACCAGAATCACAGAGCTAAGCCACCCCCATGTTCCTGAATCCGGGTCTTGGAGTGTTTTTGTCATGCGGCAACATCTGACTAATACAGAGTCCTCCTGCCATCGGTCCTGACACACTGGCCCTAGAATCAACCAAGACTCTGGACCACTGTGGGAAAGCACAAGAAAGACCAATTCCAGGAGGAGAGAGAAGTCCAGAGAAAGAAAAAGCTTAGGAAGCTGATGTCGGCATGGATGGGAGGGGATGGCTAAAGGAAACACAGGAAGGACAAGTGAGCAGTGAGGGCAGGAAGCTGAAATAAAAGTTGAAGTTCAAAGGCCTTAAACAGATGTGGAATTTGGAGGGAAGGTGGCGAGGTCATCTTGGTCCCACGCTGCGGGGGATGTGAAAGTGATCTCAACTGAAAAGCAGGCGATGAACCCTAGTCCTTGCTCGGTAAGCCTCAGCTTGCCCCTGGGCTTCATCTTCTGCCTCATCTACAAGCCAGGTACAGACTGTATCTCAAAGGGAAACCAGTGACCTTGCATGTTGGTACCAATGACGGCTGGTGTCTTTTTACAAAGGAAGGATGGTTATGGCGTAAGGGGCGTGTGTACAGTGGAACAGGACTAGCGGCTCTGTGCTGAATCAGAACCGGCAGCGTGTGTGTGTGTGTGAGTGGACGTGTGAAGAAGATTATGAATTACATGTCACCATTAGTAAGAGGAGGGGGTATAGCTCAGGGGTAGAGCATTTGACTGCAGATCAAGAGGTCCCTGGTTCAAATCCAGGTGCCCCCTTTGGAAGCCCTCTTTTCCTCCCAGAGATGATACTTAGTCCCATTAGAGGAGGTGGCTCGCGGACCCCATGAAACAGCTCCCTTATGGCCATCCCTTCTGATTCAGGTTGCGGTCAGGCACCACTTAGCATTGCCCTGAAGACCAAGGACAACACCAAATGCATCTGCAATAGCCTCTTTGAGAGTCTGTTTCCAGGGACCCCTATGGGACCAATTTCAGTATCCCATAGGGTCCAGTCCAGAGACAAAAACTGCACCTAACAGAGAACGTAACCTGAAAAATTGTTAACCAGCGCATCAGTTTCCTAGAGCTTCTGTAGCAAAGTACCACAAAGTGTGTGATATAAACAACAGACAGTTACTATCTTACAGTTTGGAGGCCAGAGTCTGCAATCGGGGTGTCAGCAGGGCCAAGCTCTCTGACAGCTCCAAAGGAGGGTCCTTCCTCACCGCCTTCCAGCTCTGCCGTGTGGACGTCCAGGTACTCCTTGTCTCGTAGACATGTCGCTCCGTCTGCCTTTCTACACGTGGCATCTTCTCCCTGTGTCTGTCCTCCTTCTATGAGGACACGGGTCGTATTGGGTCAGGGGGCTACCTTCCCCGTGGTCACCTCATCTTCACTAATTCCATCTCTCACGACCCTCTCCAAATAAGGACACATTCCTGGACACTGGGGCTAGGACTTCAACATAGCTTTTTGGGGACACAATTCAACCACAATGACCAGGAATTAGAACTGAAGGGCGGCAAGGGAAGACTAAGTCTCAGGGAGGAAGTTTCTGTAGAAGCAGCCACCACTCCAGGGCTGGGGGACAAACACAAGAGGACAAATGTGGCAAAACTTACAAGAGTGTGTCTGTGCATCGGTGACGTGGACCACTAAGGAGGTGTCCCTAAAGAGTTATGACGATGCCGGGCCTGTGAGCGCCCAACTGAGGGTGGCAGGCGCCATTGCCACTGGAATGCACTGTGCCAGGTGACACTGACAGGAACCCAGAGCAGGCAGGGAGGAGCACGTGCTTCTTCCTGCTCCAGGCTTCCACATCCCTCCGGAGCCCTACTGGCAGGACCGACCAGGAAGCCACCTGGCAAAGAAGGAGGGCGGTGTGCCGAGTCCCCACCCAGCATCCCAGAGCACACACGGGAGGGTGGAGTCGCAGGCCAGAGACCATCACTTCTTCAGTCGTCTCTTCAGACGGCTCGTCTCACCAGCAGTTAGAGGGCTGACGGTGTGGGGATCCCGGGCCCAGAGGAGGGGTCAGCCTGCGCCCCAGGGTGCGGCACTGTGCAGGGAGCTCCCTTCCGTTTCGGGTCAGTGTGTCTTCTAGCTTTGCGGCGCTGTGTGCCTAGCCAGGCCCTAGGGTGTTTTCAGGTGCTCAGCATGAAACCCACAAGGTAGACGTGGTCCTTCCAGCTGCAAGGGATGCTCCCCATTCACTGCCCCCCTCGGGGACTGATGGTGCAGAATGGAGCTGGGGGAGGAGGGAACCTCCTGCTTCTAGTGCCGGGAGCTGAGTTCGCAGTAGAGCAGGTCTGGCAGCTCCGCCGGCCTACGTGAAGGGGCATCTGGGCAGAAGCCCTGGGTGTGGCTGCACAGGGAGGACGTTTACTGGACCTCACTGGTGCCGCTGGGGGTATAGCTCAGGGGCAGAGCATTTGACTGCAGATCAAGAGGTCCCCAGTTCGAATCTGGGTGCCCCCTAGCATTTTAGTCACTCAAGGTGGTGAAGGAGTTCTCACGTCCTCTCCTCTTGCTGCATCCGGTCTCCGCATCTTCCTGCAAAGGGTGAAGAAGCAGAGGAGACCCTTTCCGCCTAGGCCAGGGCCACTCTGCTCTGTCCTTCCCACTCTCCCCTCCGCCCTGTCCCCGCTCTCCACTGTGAACTTGATCTCCTGGCCGCGGGTGAGGACTGTCTTCTGAAGGTCGCCAGAGAAAGAAGGCTGAGATCACCTACACAGGAACAGTGGTCGGACCGCTGGCCGACTCTCAACAGCCGTAAGGAAGCCGAAGACAGTGCAACGACACGTGACGGTCAGCCCTGATCTTGTCCCAGCCAAACTGTTCACGGAAAGACGAAAGCTGAGTTTACTCCTAAGAGACCCTCACCGGAGAAAATTATAAATACATACTTTAGAGAAAAGAAAAACGATTCCAGGTGTGAGGTCTGAGATACAAGAAGAAAAACTGAACGAAGAAATTGTAAGATATGGAAGCCAATCTAAAATTATCGGCCATGCAATATAATATTAATGTCTAATTTATTAAGTTATTTAAAAGACAATGAAAATACTGGTTCACGATCACATATGAGGAGTGGGGTGATCGCAGTAACGTGTTTGTGTAAGTTGGGAAGAGGATCAAGATATTGACTAACTTAGACTTAAAATTTGCATGTAGCAATTCCTAGGGCATCACTTTAAAGGTTGTGGTTTTGCCGGGCTGAAGGCGGTCAGGGAATGTGGGCTCCATGCTAGTCGTCTTGGCAGACAGGCATCAGTGTTAGTAATTTATTTGCTGATTCTTTTAGATTCCCTATGTATATGATCACATCTAAAAAACGTAAACGTTTTATTTCCTCCTCTCTAATCCTTATATCTTTTATTTCTTTCTTTTTCACCTTATTGTACTGGCCAGGACCTCCAGTATAATGCTGAATAAAGGTGTTGACAGGAGCTGTCTTGTCTCATTCTGATTTTAAATGAAAAGCTTTCAACATTTCACCATTGAGTACATGTTGTGGACTATACTTTTTGAAAATGGTCTATATTAAATCAAGAAATTTTTCTTCTAGTTCACAAAAAATTATGGATAGATGTGGAAATTTATCAAAACTCCTTTTTTTGCATTTATTGAGAAAATCACGATCTTTCTCCTTTAGATTATTAACATGGTGAATTACATTTATTGCTTTTTGTAAAATGGAACACATTTTGCATTCCATATGTAAATCCAACTTGGTCAGGAAGTTATATCATTTTCACATATTGTTTATATTGTAGATTCAGTTAGGTTATCATTTATTTAATTTTGTACCTGTGTTATGAGTGAGATTGGCCTGTACATTTTTTATATTGTTCTTGCTGGGTTTTGGTGTGAAGGTTGCACTTTAGATGTGCCTTTTGTAAATAGAATACAGTTGGTTGGTTGTCTTAACCCAATATGACAATCCGTCTTTTCATCTGGGGCATTTCATTTATTTACTTTCAATGTAATTGCTGATATATTTGTATTCAAATTGTCACCTTATTTTGTTTTCAATTTATATCGCTTGTTTTCCTCTCCTCGTTAATTTTTATTCGAGATTTTTATCATGCCATGATTTCCCCCTGCTGATTTAAAAAACATAAATGCTATTTTTTTTTATTTTAGGGGTTATACTAAATACTCCCTGTATGTAGTTATTTCTCAAAGCCTGTTGGTTAACCAATAACTTCACCCTCCTCCCGGGCAGCACAAGCCTCTTAGAACACTTAGAACACTGTAACTCCATTTCTCTCCCAACTTATCGTGAGTGGTCCTTATTAATTTAATATCCAGTTGTACTCCTCCAACAGCCTTTGTTACATCGCAGTGAAATTCACTCTAGGCCCCTAACTTGTGGTGTTAATGTGTCTTCCAAGCCACTGTGTGTGAGGAGGGCTCACGGACCTACTTGGTGGCTCTTGGAGTTTCTCCAGGGCTCTCCCTTCCCCTGCTGCAGTGAGCGTGACATGTTCGTTCCATATGTCCACTGTGCTGGGGCCGGTAGCTGGTTCTCCTAAAGCTGCTCCTGTGTCTTCAAAGTTGGGCGCATGTTTTTTTCTTGAGTGATTACAGTTTTCAGCCTAATTAAGTTTCCGGGTTTACAATGTCTCTTACTTGACGGTCACATGATATCCCCAAGGGACCAGAAAGGCGCGAGCCTCAGGGACATCACCTCGTGTTACACACCTGGGGTGGAAATGGCAGCTCGGTCTCTGGATGTCTCTTCCTTGCTTTCAGAGGAAATCATGAACAGGCATGGATGCGGCTACTTTTATAAGATTCTGCTTAGCTTCCTACACCATCGCACCAGGTCAGCCCCTCTGTTCTCCTCGGGTAAAGAAGATATTTCCCTACATAGCCTCAGAAGAATCTCGCCTCAAGCTTTATTTAGGTCATCCCGAACCAACTTTCAACATCTTTATTTTCTGGCTGACTTCAGAAAGTCATAACCCACAAGGAAGTCAGCTACAATGGAGTTTTGCATTTTAGAGTGAGAAAGACCTGAGTTTGGATATCGTCGCTAACTTCTGCCATCTCTGTGACACCAGGCAAGTCATTTGGACCCTTGGAACGTCAGTTTCCATATCTGAAACATTAGTGTGTATAAGAATGGCTATACAGAGTTGTATAAAACCATGTATACTGAGCTACAGGAGCAAGTTAAGAGATGTTCGAGGTCATTTTGTCTCTATATGATTTTTGCCCAATATGCTCTGTTTTATGCCGAATCGTCTGTAGATCAGGCCAGGAGAATAAATAAGACTTGAGAGAAGAGAGCCAAGGAGACTTCCGGGTAGGAAGAAAAAGGTGCCTGTCAGCATACTAGACAGTCCGAGGCCAAGGGACATGGGGACAAAGCATAGAAAAACAACAAAAGTCAATGGGGAAAGACAAAAAGAGTAAGTAAATGTATCAATCTCAGAATTTCAGTGGCCATCAGTGGTAAAAACAAGATAATTCTGACCCAGTTACAGCATATAAATATAAAAATATTTAAATAATTTAAAATAGCATCCATAACGTCAGCCTAGGTGGATAATAATCACTTGGAAAGTTTCATCTACAATCACAGTAATGGGACCACTACACAGTGGCCAGGTCTTCCGGTATGCCTAGATGAGAACCACGAGCATGGGTCTTGGTGCAGTGACTTTTGGCTTCAGGCTCAGTGTTTAGCCAAATCCTGTTGTTCAGATGTTGGCTTCAGCCTTGGCCATTGCAAAGTGGAATAGTGAATGTTCACTTAGTGTCATTTCTGGCATCTTAGACTTGTACGTAAGTGACAACTGTGCGGTCGGGTAAATTTCCATCAGGATCTCGTCAGGGCACCAGTCTTCAGTAACAGAAACGTGGCATGTCATTCGTAGCTGTTGTTGATGTCTGAATAGCTGCTTCCAAATTGAGGTGTTCTCAATTCTAGATGTAACTTGAGGTGCAAACTTTGATGATGCACTTTATATGTTGAAATGCTAACAGTCAGTTGAAGTATGTAATTGTATTTTTAACATTGCAAAAGTAAAATGCTACAGTGATTATTGAGAATTATGAAAGGTGTTGATTCTGTGTAATAAATGAGAACTTTCACTGTTAAATATATGATAATTCTGATTACTATCGAATTATTTGGTGTAATCACGTTCATAACACTAAAATAGTCTTTAGAAACTAATGTTTAATTATTTAATTCCATTTAGTCTGTGAATCTTAAAAAGGAAAAGCCGTATATGGTTATTTTTCACATTACTAGGAGGATAAATAAAAGAATGGCCATGTGGCTACCTCAGAAATTCACAAGGACAGAAAATACTCATGTACAACACATATACGAAAAATCATATTTGATTGAGACATGATTAAAAATATAAAGAGAGCATGAAAAAATTGAAAGTTTACATAAAAATGAGACACTCAAAATACATTTGTTCTCTAAACCACAAACTTTACAAGAATGCTTTTAATAAGACTATGCCTCATGGTTTGGGATCTGTGCAGTCTAATACTTTTTAAAGCTTGTAGAAATAATTGCTATAGACTGATAACCATTTTCAGCAGTTGAAGAAAAAGAACTTTTGAGATTTGCCAAAGCTACAAATTCTAAATATTGATTTCTTTCAGAAAATATTCTTAAAATATTTTTTCTGATTTATATTTTGCTGTGTATAAAAAGTTTAACGAAATTATTAAATACACTACTGTATATGGTACATGTGACATTTGAACATGATGAATCAATGTTAATTTTTTAAATTCGATAGCGTAGAAGATTAAAGATTAATTCAACCATGTTTCCACTTTCCTTGTTTGATGAAAGGTTCCTGGGTCTCACACGCATAGTGAATCTGGCTTCGAGAAGTATTTTATGGAGTGTGAAATCAGTAAAGAGAGATGCATGAAATTATCATTGACTATGGAACAAATATGGTGAAGGCTATGAGCACAAGCATACTATAATTTGTTTGCACCCTTTAGTTTTATATTCAGAAGTGGTTATAGCTTTAAAAGATATAATAGAATATAACGGGCTGCAAGCAGAAAGATGTAGATCACTTCCACAATTTTTCTTCAGCCAATAACAAATTATATGATACACAAGTGATTTTGAAATTGTCATGTACACACACAAAATATTTAAACAAGATGGAACAGCAGCTATTATATCTTTCAAAAGCTTATAGAATAAAGAAGTCCTTGATTTTGTATTTTCCAGAAAACATTATGTAGCAAGACTTTCTTATATCCAATAGTCGCTTGCATTGAAAGCAGTTTTTTTGTTGGAACTTGCTGAATAAATTGCTGTGCTAAAGTGGGTTCAAAATAATTGATTCTACTCCAAGTAGATGCTGAAATTGGTGTGCATACAAGGAAATCTAAGATGCAGGTGGAAACTTCAATTGTTTTCTTAACCTGCAAAATAATTAGATTTCTTCATTGTCACATTTATAGATCCAAACTTTAAGGACGAATTTTTCTCTAGTGATTGTGTATAGCAGCAAGGACAGACAAAAATATTAGAAATTGGAAATCAAAAATATAAGTTAGTACAATAATCTTAAATCTAATTCTGAAAATATTGTGCACCTTCTTGAAATAGTACACGAAACTTCAGTCAGTGAAATTGCTTCAGTGAAATGCTATCACCATCCAAAAAATTGTCAAATACAAGAATTAAAAAGGAGAAAAGTATTACTGTAATGTTATTAGAGGAAGGAACATATAATAATTTGGTAGTGATATTACCATTATTGTATTGACAGAAGTAGGCTTGCTGCCCATGACACTCAGTTGATATATCTTGCTTAGTAATGCAAACGTCCCTGTTTAATAGCCATAGAGATATCCAGCAGTTGACAGGGCTGTGAAATTACTGTTCTTGCATTAAGGTCAAACTGTAAAATTTTATTGACTACATTTTTAATAACAGAATTGTAAAAATGAATTTCCTTTTCAATAAAATTCACGTTTTTTCCTTCTAGAAGTTCATTCCGTTATGGCGATACTCTGATTCATAGAATTGCAATTTTTAATTGTCAAACATTCACCATTTGACCAAAATATATATTCAGGTAGACCTCAAGTTACACGCTGAATGTGTAGCTACAGTCTAAAAATAGCTTAGTATGCCCAAGAGCAGGTGCCCCGACAAGATGGTTCTTTCTCACACTTTTGCGATTCATGTACTTGGACTGTTGTGGACATTGCCTTGATTCAGTTGTTAAAATACAGGTTTCGGAGGACCCTGATTCACGTTCAGCATGTTTGAAATGAAGACTGTGCTGGAAACTCAGGGTTCTGTGTTTGTCAACCGGAAACACAACCTCCATAGATAACACGTGCTTCTTTCCTAGCAAACGGTAACCTGAAAGATCCTCAAGTAAGGACAACTGTACAGTAAATTTTGGTCCTAACACGGGCCACGGGGGATGTGAACCACTTCGCCTCGGCAGCCACATTTGCAATTTCTGCAAATGACGAACGTGCTGTTCATCACAGCTGTGTGCCCCTGGGTCACTCATTCCAACCTGCAGCCTCGCACCGAGCTCCCGCACACCGCCCGTTTCCACCTTTCTGAACTGGGCTGCCTCCCGCCGGAGAGCCTCCCCCTTGGGGCGGTGGGCCTCTTGGAGGCAAACTCCCCAGAGGAGCCCCAGTTTGCGTCGGGCCCTAAGCTGCAGCCTGTTGAGCGCTGTGCGGGTGCGTAGAAAACAGCACACTTGGTTCCTACAGCAACCACCGCTCATCAGCG